TTGCCGTAATAAGTTATTTACCTTTATTTAATTGCTTAGTTTTTTTTTTTTTTTAAATGTGGTTTTGTTCCCTAAATTGGTATTTATTTTAACTGCCAAGTTTTATTTTTATTCGATCTCTGTAAAGAACATATAAATTGGGCCTATAGGATGATCCACTAGGATTTGTAACTATATTTCGTGTCAACTGGAAGGGTCATTTAGTGACTGCTAATGTTGTCAGTATTAGAACAGTGGCTTCCTTTATTTTAATTTAATAAGAGATTCGCTTCTATATAACTGCAGCGAAAAATAACTGTTGTGTATATTTGCAAACCCATACAATAATTATGTAACCTGAAAAGTTAAAGTGTGGTTTATCGTAGATCTCGACTTGTAACTTGACATCGCTGAGTCTTCAGGAATATATACCCGGTTTGTTTTATAACATTCAATACTATGATTGAGTAGTATGCGGTTGGTCCAGTTGTTGACTACAAATTTCTTACTGACGGATAGATGTTTTTTTCATTTTTATTATCTCATCGTGTTTTTCTCTGAAGAGTAATTTAACGCATTTTCAGAATTTTTATTGAAGCGAGATTTATAACTCGCCTATCGTGCTTATTTGAAAAAACTACCGTTTAGGGGTTTAGCATTCAGAGTGGGTGATACTTGTAGATTTTTAGTTCCAAAGATAGTATCATTGAGGGGAGTAGCGGGGAAGATATAAATCACGATAACGATGATGCAGACGAGATAATTGTAGGTCAGTAAGAAAAGGATTAGAATGTTGTTATGGCGGTAATGAGTTCTTGAAGTGTAAAAATATTAGTGAATGCTTAGTGCTTGTTGAGAATAATGCGAAAATGTTGTTATTGTTGACTGTTGTTTATTTTAAAATCTCCAGAAGTAGATTTTTCGTTTTGGAATTACATCATTTGTCTAATGTTGTTTTAGTTTTGTGACTTAGAAGTAGAATGAAGTTTTTTGAGGTTTGGTAGTTAAAGCAGGTTTGTATACTTTGCACGGTAGAATGTGTGAAAAAGTCCACCGTAACTTTTCACGTCGGTAATGCTTTGAAGCCGGTCTTTATAGGATTCTTTTTGTCAGTACTTACGTTTTACTCAAGATTTTTATGTGTTCCTGACTCGTGAGAAGTTGTGTGGAGTGGGTGGTGACCAGCGAATCTGTAAAGATTTGATCTCGCTTAGATACATTTTTATTTTTTGAGTTTTTCGCCACATCCTATGATTGCTTCATATATACGCTGCTATATAGTAATCATCGTTTTCCCAGTTTTTTTTAAACATAGGTAAATAATCGTATAACTAATCGTATTTGGGAGAATGATATGCCATTTTATGTAATCTTCAATTTTTTAAAATTAGTTTGCTTGGATGGGAACTCCTTGTCATTGTTGATTAAGATTTTTCTGTCATTGACTGGACTATTGGAAGGCTTTTATTTTCCCTGAAGTCTTCTGCTGTTATTGTCATCATCCTTATGGTTAAATTATTAAAAGGGTTGGTAGGGCTAGGACGGTTTTTAGAAAATAATTAACTAGTGGTTTTGAAAATTAAATTTCTCACCTAACGTTTTATTTTATTTTTTTTATTTTTTATTTATTTTTTATTTTATTTTATTTTTTTTATTTTATTTTATTTTATTTTTTTTGTTAATTGCCACAGTTATATTTGCTTGGCTATGTATCCTGAGTGATAGTTACATTGTGCCAAAGATCTTAATTTCACAAGATTTTGGTTGACGGCGTGTATCAAAAGTTTTTTTAAATAATGTATTTTTACACCAACTTTTTTTTCTTTTTTTTGTAGAAGCGATTACTTGATTTATCTGTTGGGACACTTAGTTGGAATTGCATTTATTCTAATTTTAAAGCGGTTCTTCAAGTCTTTTTTTTTTGAATTTTTTTTGTCGTCAAATTATGCTGATTTTTAAGAAGGGGTTTATAGATGAATTTGTTAGTAGTATGTTCTTGGAATGGAAGGGTTTGATAGTGTTATTTATCCTGCGTTTAAGTTCTTTTTTTTTTTTCTTTTTCTGTTTTGGCTAGAGTACTACTTCCTTTTTAATCATGGCGGAGAAGCGATGATTTTTACGTACAAATATTTCTGCTATTAGTACTACATTTATCGAACAGAATATTTGGTCATCAGGAAGATTTGGCTATACGAAGTGCAGTCTTTACTGGTTTTTTTATTATAGGAAACGCGTGGTCTAAAGGATCAGATAGGTCCATAATGAAGATGGAGGGAGTCAGTGACCTTGTTAATGGCCGCAATGAAGTTACAAAACCGCGAGAGGTTGCAAAAACTGTGCAGCCATCTCCAAGAGGTCCATAATTTTTTATTTTTAAATTGGATGTCTTTCATTCTTTGTTTCATTTTATTTCTCTCTTTTTTTTTTTTTT